TCAAGCTCACCATCATGGATTTCCTTCCTAAGTGCCTCGGACCCCTTCCTCAGAACGCTGCCGACTACTGCGACAAGTACATGAAGCAGCATGGAATTAAGTGCTATTATGGCATGAAGTACGCTCCCAAGGAGGAGGGCTTCTTCGAGAAGATTGGCCTCACTGGCGAGCCTGACTGCACTTTCGTCTGCATTGGCACTAAGTCTTCCAACTGGTTCATGCCTAAGGAGTGCTTGACTGGCTACAACCCCTTGGAAGAGGACAAGAAGGAGAAGGACCCCAAGAAGCGCGGTCCCGGTGGCGGAGGATGGATTCACGTGAACAAGCATTTGCAGGTCTACAAGGTTAACGAGGATGGCTCTCAGTCCCTCTGGGGTAACGGTCACATCTTCGCCATTGGTGATTGCAACATGGTCCCTGAGCTTCCCCCGATCCCTAAGATCTCTTATCCTTCTGAGGAGCAGGCCGCTCATGCTACCAAGAACATTAAGATCTTGGACCACCTCGAGCATAAGGGTAAGTCCGTTGGCGGCTGCTGCGGGCTCGGTGGTGCCAAGGACCTCGTCACTACTTGGTGGCCTTGGGGTGCTGGTATGTTCGCTACTTCTCTCGGACCTAACAAGGCCTGCTTCGTTTTGGGTGCCAAGTCTGCTCCTGGCACTGGCCATATGGTCCTCTGGGGCAAGCTCTCTGCCATCCAGAAGGGTCTCATTGAGTCCACTAAGGTCAACGAGAACAAGCGCGGCATCATTGGCAGTTGGGGTTGGCATTTCGTCCATCATACTCCTTTCATGAACTAGATTTAGTTTCTTGGAGTCCTCTTTTGAGTAGCTGTCCGTATGTGACTAACTTTGCTCGCATTTGTTATAAGATAACTGTTCCTTCTTTCGTGAGCAAAAGCGATATATTGAGTTGTATATGAAAGGGTTTGTGGTGAAATCTGCATCACATTGAAGGGAGAATCGGGAAGATGCCATATGTGATACTATTGCTACAAGTTGGCAGTACGTGGTCTCTCGTAGGCATGTGGAGCGAACACACTCAATGTAACATGCGACCTCAAACGAAAGTGGTCTGTTATGAGCAATTTCGATATATGCACGTGCAGAAGGTTACATCTCGGTAGCAAGTGTATATAAAAATG